CCTCCGAAACATCTCTTACCTTCTTCAAAACAAATCTAGCTTGCTACCTCGTGGTGCATAACACGAAAAGCGCTAGAACGTCTCGCTGCCAGACAATCTTAGGATCCTCCTGGCTATTCCACACACCCTGCCATATGCTAATTAATTGATTAAAACGACTCTATCGCTGGCTGTCGCTCAGAGCACCGCACTTCTGCCTTCCCTCCCAAACTGGTTTCCCCGCTTGCCCCTTTCGTGGACACCACAGGTCCTCAATCACATCACTCAAGGACACGTGGAGCTTGAGAGAGGGACAGACGGGGGCCCGCGGCCATTTCCACTGGCGAGAGCACAGAAGGAGGGAAGGCGGAAGCGACTCCTCCCCACCTGCAGCACTCTGCCCTGCTCCAGTTTCTAAGGTGTGATGGTCAGGGTTCAGCTCCCCTCACCTAGACTCCCTTTTCATGTAAAAATAGACCTCTCCAACCTCTGCTTTAAATATGACTAACGTGACAGGTGCAGGAGGATATCCCTCTTGTATCTTTATTCACGCCCCTCCCCATTCTCTTGGACTGCCGCGTGCTTTGCCTTCTGTGCAGATGAGAATTTTAACTGCATGCGAAACAGGGACGATTTCACCTCTTTGCCGGCAATTTGATAAGGAGGATCTCTTGGGTGCGGGGTACTGTCTTGGAGAACGGAGCCCTAGTTGGATGGGGTGTGTGTGTGTGTCTGTTTACAGCCAGAAATGCCTTTCCCTTGAGACTAATGGGAATAAATAATGTTCTAAAGAAAATGGACACCCATAACGACTAGGATTAAGAATAGGTTTCCCTTGCTCGAAAGCCAGTCGAATCCGACTCTAGGGTTGCAGTGCTCATCTCCATTTCCAAGCCGAAGAGCCAGCACTGTCCGAAGACGTTTCCGTGGTCATGTGGCCGGCATGACTAAACGCAGAGGTGCACGGAACGCTGTTCCCTTCCCACTGAAGGTGCTTGCAATTTCCTGCTTTCGAACTGCTCGGTTGGCAGGAGCTGGAACTAGAGACGGGAGCTCACTCCGTCATGCGGCACACTCAGGTCTCGAACTGCTGAACTACCAACCTTCCACAGCCTGCAGTTCAGCGTCTTAACCACTTGAGCCACTGCAGCTCTAACCCTAACCCTTTAATTAAGAATACAGATAACTAGAATGGACCAAAACTGAGCCCCTTTTCAAGCACATCCCTCTGAAGTTTCCCTTGGTGCCAACAAAAGAAAATCAGCAGGAGGTTTGACTAGATGACCTTCGGGTACCTTCACAGAATGGGCACTGGACAGTTAACTCAACGTGAGCCAACGTGGTGTAGTGGTTAGAGTGTCAGACTAAGATCTGGGAGACCCAGGTTCGAATCTCCGCTTGTGGCATGGAAGCTGGCTGGTGGACCCTTGGGCCAGTCACTCACACTAGCCTACCTCACAGGGTTGTTGTGAGGATAAAACAGAGGAGAGGAGGAGGAGGATGTGAGCCACCTGGGGTCTCCTCTGGGGAGAATAGTGGGATGTAAATGAAGCCAATAAATACTCTCCTGTTCAGTGGCAAGACCCTCCACTGACCAGGAATGTTGTCCTCCCTCCCTAGCTGTGGATTACCCTATGCCAGGGGTGTCAAACATGCGGCCTGGGGGGCCGGATGAGGCCCCCCGGAGGGCTTCTCTCAGGCCCGCAGTGGAACTGGCTGTCTTCTGCTTCTTCCAGTTCTGCTGCTGCTGCGTCATCGTAGGTTTGCAGCTTACAGACACACACCTGAACAGCAGACTCAAGATTGCAACGGCACAGACATTTTGATGCAGTCATTCAGAGCAAGCGGTGTCAGTTATCAGACACGGTTCAAGAAACAAGATATTGCAAGAGTGCTCAAGTTTTCAGCATGTTTTTATTTTAAGTAAAAAAAAACCTTTGTGTTTTGTGTCCTTTATAAAGTTTCTATCTCCGCTACCTGGCATTCCATTTTATGGCACACCTGGCCCGGCTCAAAAAGGTCTCATTTATGTCAGATCCGGCCCTCATAACAATCCCTGGCCCTATGCAGTCTCTGCCAATCAGAAGCCAATTGGGACATTAAAAGGACCCCGTATTCCATGCCACTTGACCGACCCATGCCCAATGTTCCCTCTAAGCTGTGGAGTCCAGTGAGCAAAAATTCTACTTTCTGAGCTCCTGGCATTAAAATTGTGAGTGAGCGATTTGGCTACTGCATACGTTAGATTGCTCTGGTTAGCTTAGCTTCCTGAGCTAAGACAAAAATGGGTGAGCCGGAGGCTAAAAAACTGTGAGCTAGCTCACACTAACTCAGCTTAGAGGGAACACTGCCCGTGCCCCACATGCTCCCTGCAAGACACGATCACCTCGTGTAACACGATGCTTCTCATCTGGCTCGATTGGGTGGCGCTGCTGCGCCAGAGCGGAGGGGGCAGCGGCGACCCCTGCACTCTTAATGGCCCTCAGCTCCTTTTGCAAGCAAACGGAACTCATGTCCCTTCCCTGGCGTGGAGGGGCAGCCACTGCCCTTGGAAGGAGGCAGATCCCACTGCGTTCTCCTCCTCCCGGGGTGTGTGTGTGTGTGTGTGACTCTCCTCCTCATCCTCCAGGCCCCTGCCGGCCAAGAGCAAGCCACTCAGCAGCCCGGGCCAGGGTATGGTGGGGGTGGAAAGTGCCGGCAAGCCACAGCCAACTGATGCAGGCCCGTCGCCACCGTGGGGCTTTCGGGGAGCTCTGTCCCCCTTCTTAAAGGAAAAGCCCTACAAGAATTTCTCCTGTAAATGATTTTCAATCATTTTAAACTTTTTTTTTTAAAAGGGCGTGCGCTCCTTTAAGCAGAGCGGGGTGTTGTAGTTGACCATTTCCCATACTGACCATGGGGGTTGGAGTAGGTGACCTCTAGGACCCTTCTAGCTCTGTGTTAAGAAACCGGTCTCCTTTAAGAGAGTTTCTCTGCCTCCTAAGTCATCGCCCCCACCTGCCGGCTTGTTCTCAGGATTGTTGCTCAGGCTGGCAGAACTGGTTAACTTGCAGCAGCTGAGAACTGTGGTCTAAAGTGGCTGGCAGTTTGCAATGTAGAGAGCTATCCTGGTCACAGCAATGTAGAGCTCTATCCTGGTCACAGCTTCCTATTGGCTCAATGGTTTTCCTTTCTGCACTGAGAAGTTCAGCCCCGCCAGGAAAAGAATTGCCCCGCAAGCCACAAAATCCTGGCGACGAGCCTGGACTGATGGGAACCCTGCAGGGTTTTGAAGGCAAGAGACATTCAGAGGTGGCTTGCCGTTGCCTGCCTCTGCCTCACCACCCTGGACTTCCTTGGCAGCAGGGTTCCCCCTAAGCTGAGTTTGTGTGAGCCAGCTCGCCGTTTTTTAGCCTCTGCCTCACACATTGTTGTCTCAGCTCAGGAAGGAGGGCTCCAGAGCAGACGAGTCTATGCACCAGCCAAATCGCACGCTCACAACTTATCCCAAGGTATCCCAACAACGACCAAGCTGCTTAGCTCGCCTGGGCTACCCCCCCCCGCCCCCCACAGCCCTTTCGGTGCCTCCAGAACCAAGGCTCCCTCTCAGCTGTGGAGACTCATGAGCAAAAATTCTACTTTTTGAGCTGCTGGCATTAAAGTTGTGAGCAAGCGATTGGGCTCCTGCATCAGTTAGTTTGCTCTGGGGCTATCCTTCCTGAGCTAAGACGAAAATGTCTGAGCTGGAGGCTCAAAACCGGTGAGCTGGCTCACACTCACTCAGCTTAGAGGGAACATTGGTCCTGGGGCGCTCAAGAGCCTGGCCAGCCATGCAGGCTTCTCTATCCGTCTGCGGGAAACAGAGAGAAGCTCGCTGAGAATTGAACCCTGAAACGAGTTCAAGAAGCTTTTGAAGCAACTTTGCGAAGCCCCCGCAGATTATTTTTATTTTTTTAAAGCACAGATGCAACCTGATCCGTTTGGTGGCCCATCTCTCCTGCCCCCAGGCAGTGCCCCGGCAGAAAGGGAAGTTCGAGGCGCACGGCGGGGCGGAATGCAAAACACACACAGACACCGCCGCGCTTGGCCACGTGTAAGGCGCGTACCCAGAGTCCCCTCCAGAAGCCACACCTCGCCTGGCTTCGGTCCCTCGCCGCTGTCGGACTGCTGGGGGGTTTTGATTTCGGAAGAGGCACACGCTTCGCCTGTCCTCCGAAAGAGGCCGTGGTCGCAAGCGGCCAACCCCTTCCCTTCGCAGGGGCTGCACAACCAGTGTTCCCTCGAAGCTGAGTTCGCGTGAGCGAGCGCACCGTTTTCTTAGCCCCCGGCTTACACCTTTTTGTCTCGGCTCAGGGAGGAGGGCTCCAGAGGAGACTCATGTCTGCCGCAGCCCAATCGCCGGCTCGCCACTTGAACGCCAGGAGCTCAGGGGGTAGAATTGTTGCTCACAAGACTCCAGAGCTTAGCGGGAGCGCTGGCTCCCACCCCCAGCCTACGGCTTGTCCCAGAAGCGACGGGGTCCTTCTGGCCACAAACGTTTCCTTCCTTGGACCGAGCGGAGGGAGCCCCGGTCCGCTCCGGAGCCGGCACCGGGATGGGAACGCCGCTGCTGTCGAGCGCAAAAACGTCTCTTTCCAGCAGGAAGGCTTGCTTGCTTCCCGAGAGCAAGCTTTTCCCAACTTGCAGGAAGGAGGCCCACAAAAAGGAGACGTTCCCCTCCCTCCCTCCGCCCTGTCACTCCACGATCTGAGGCTTCCAGCTCCGCATAGAACCATGGGG